TCCTGGATAGATCTGTCATTTCAGCAGAGCCTTCAACACAGGAGGGATGTGGGTGGCCTTACTGTTATGTATAAGGCCAATATTGTCAAAGTACCACACTTGGATCCACTTCGAGGATAGTGTGAAAGGATGGAGGGATCCAAACCCTCCATACCAAGGAATTCCACGGCCTTCACAGTAAAATGTTTCAACTGTAATGAGTGGGGTCATAGACGGCCCGACTGTCCTAGAAAAAAAGGGGAAAATGTCGGTAAATGTTTCACTGAATCAAACATAAACGCACCTTTTAGTGAAGGTACAGTAAATGGCATGAATGTGTCAACCATTCTTAGAGACACTGGATGTTCCTGTATTGTTATCTCAAGTAAGCTTTTCCCTAACCTAGATTCTTCACGTTATAAGTCCACTAAATTAACTGACTATTTAGGAAGAAGCGATTCTTTTCCAACAGTCAGATGTTTCGTTAGGTGCAAATGGTTCTCAGGATGGGTAGATGCCGTAGTCGCCCCGATAACCTCGTGTTCTGTTTTGGTTGGGAACATACAAGGGGCTACTTTCCCATCTGAAAAGGACTGTTTGGAATTTGGAGTTTCCAAGGAAGGGTTGGAACCTAATATCTCTTTCTTCACAGATAGTTCCAGATGAGATTCAGTTGGATAACTTAAATCAGAGAGCTGATGGTTACAAAACTCCGGTAACACCTTTAGTGAGTCAGTCACTTAAGTAGTTACGGCATTCTGTGGTGGTCCACCTCCAATAATAATAATAATAATAATAATAATAATAATAATAATAATATCTTTATTTCTACAAGTACATGTACAAGGTATACAGGCCTAGCTGACATCAATGACATACTACTATAAAGAAAGCCGGTTGTTATTGCAGAGCATTTCGAGCAAATTAGGTCAGTTTTGTCCCAGGATGCGACCCACACCAGTCGAATAACATCCAGGTACCTATTTTCAACTGATAGGTGAACAGGGAGAGGGACTGCAGGTGTCTTATGGAAACACGTGCCTAATGTTTTCCAGTCGTACCGAAGGAGATTCAAACTCCGGACCTCAATGTGTGAGCTGAGTGTGCTAGCGATCTAGCTGGTATTAATAACTAAGGGCTAAACCTATATCTGAACGTGTATGTGTGTGTGTGTGTATATATATATATATATATATATATAATTTTTTTTTTCAACTAGTCGGCCGTCTCCCACCGAGGCAGGGTGACCCAAAAAAGAAAGAAAATCCCCAAAAAGAAAATACTTTCATCATCATTCAACACTTTCACCACACTCACACATTATCACTGTTTTTGCAGAGGTGCTCAGAATACAACAGTCTAGAAGCATACACACACACATATATATATATATTATATATATATATATATAATATATATATATATATATATATATATATATATATATATATATATATATATATATATATATTTTATATATAATTAAATTATTTTCGGGAAAGCTGCAATGAGCAATTATAACTTTTTACATGGGGAAGGAATCAGCAGGAGAGAGATCATACCATACCTACCAGTATTAATACCTTCTCTAAACGCAATTATTCTATTTAAACCCACAGGCATCTAGAGATAATTGGTTTACAAAACTGTTTACCACTCGAGCAAACACCTTACATGACGCTCTTCAAACAAGAGCATCTCATCATGTACCACCGGCTGCATACCACCAGAATTCCATACTGTATAAACTCTGGTTTATTGCACCTCCATGATGCACTTCACATTGCAGAGCTGCCAGACACAGCAATGACTTTTCAAACACTTTGTTCTTCACAGAGACCTCAACAAACTTTATGCATGTTACAAACCAAATTTATAACTGCTTATACTTGCATCGACAATTATTATAATTATATTAATAGGAAAGTCGCAAATCCGTAGGGGTCATACAGCAAATGGGGAGTGGTAGGTATTCAGGTTTGATCCAAGGGAGAGAGTAGCTCCAATTACTTTGAACGAGGTCTTTTCAGCAGCATAAATGCACTCCTCTTGATGAGAAACATTGACAAACTAAGGAGCTGTTGAGGAGTATTATTATTATAATCATAACCAAGCGCTAAACCCACAAGGGTCATAGCTGTTCCGGAACAAATGTTTTTTAGAAGAGGAAAAAATACTGTTTCGAAGATATGAGGAGCTGCAACACCATGCGGGAATACAGCACTTGGACACTAAATTTATATTAAGGAGGGAACACTTTCTTGACCACAGGAAGAGATAACACAAGTGGCGTGAAAAAGTCCACAAAAACGTTGTAGGTAAAGTAGGGAGGGAAAGAACTATGGGATTTGTAGTTCTGGAGACAATATTATTAGTGCTAACATGGTGGTGGGTAAAGGTCAACACGTTTACTTAGAAAAGAGAATGAGTATCAGTGGGTATAAACACTAAGTACTTCCCATGAAGGGTGCGCCGGGCCTGTCGACCCCGCCTTGAAGCCGCCAGTGCACCTAAGTGAAAAAATACAGCATATATAAAATCCATTGAAGTTCTGCTACCTTTATTACAAGTTATGTGCTTTGATGCAGAAGCCGTAACCAATTATTTCAACTCATTACATCCAAAATTTTATTTTGGAAAGTAAAACATTTTTAAAAATATTAATGTGTATAAGTTTGTATTTTATGCCAATGTGACTGTTAAATATACCTTTTGTAACTACCTGTCTGCGATGACAGTCATAACCTACCTGTGATGACCTATTTTAAGTACATAGAGCTATTTTGAAGTTTGCTTGTGTACCATATAAGTCTCCTACTTATTTACGCAATTTTTTCCAATGACAATCTTCTGTTAATAATTACTCGTACAGCCTTCCGTCCAACACTTTCAACATTTTATAGCAACTTTTATATTCTTCACGCTGTCTATTTTAGCTTTCTCCAATTTACATTACGTGGCACTTATTTATATTAAATTCCAGCATGCAGCTGTTACTATCTTTAACCAGCTCTTCTTACAAGAATTTACCTATTTATTTGTTTACATCTTTGTTCAATCCTAAAACATGTTGATATACTTTTAATTACTTGTGGTAAATCATTTATTAAAATAACAATATTACCAGGACGAGAACCGTAGTCTTCCACCGAGGGATGGGGGGGGGGTAAAATTTCTTCAGGTCAGATAAAAGTGAAAATTAAAATAATACTGAGGGCGGTTGACCACTAGTTTCCACACAGCATTTCATGCTGCACTCCAGTGACGTTTATAGGCTCAAGTACGCCCACAATTGCACTTAGCTCTTCTTGTGACACTGCATGTATATTGGCTTGCTTTAAAGCAAAATACCAGCCAATAGTAATTTTGAAACGGTAGAAGCTCCACTGGTAGCTCGAGGACAGTCGCGAGACCGCCCTACATTACCATCCCTCATAAACTGGTTCATGTAGTCAATAAGAACACCATCATGCAGCAACACATATAACAATATAAACACTCACGTTTACAAATGACAGAGGAAATATTGAAATTTTATGAAAATTAATACCACTTGAAGGCATTGAAAATTGAAGTCAAAAGTCTAAGGAACTATTTCACCTTATTTAAGTTATATAATAAATAAAAGATAACGATAATGACAGCCTGGTACACACGCATTATATATATATATATATATATATATATATATATATATATATATATATAATATATATATATTATATATATATATATATATATATATATGTCGTGCCGAATAGGCAGAACTTGCGATCTTGGCTTAAATAGCAACGTTCATGTCGCCATATAGGACAAGCGAAAATTTGTGTATGCAATAATTTCGCCAAAATCATTCTGAACCTAACGAAAAAAATATATTTCACTGTGTTTGTTTAGAATTAAATTATTGTAAAGAAATATAAAACATATTTAGTTGGGTTAGGCTAAAATAAATTGTTCTTGTTATAATAAGGTTAGGTAAGTTTTCTAAGATTCTTTTGGAGCAAAATTAAAATTTTTTACATTAATACTAATGAAAAAATATATTTTTAAACGTATAAGAGAAAATTTTAGAAGGGACATAATTTTAAACGAGTTCTTGCTAATTGACCAGTTTTACATATTCGGCACGACATATATATATATATATATATATATATATATATATATATATATATATATATATATATATATATATATATATATATTATATATATATATATATATAATATGACACAGAAGAGAATGAATTCCTATCAAGAACAATATTTTTTATGAGGCCAGGCCTTGTTGGTGCTGTCATCTAAGTGAATTTGATATATGTCGGACAAAAGTACATGCTGTGAGAAACTAGACTTTTATATTTTACAACCAAGTCGATTTTATATCATAAGGGTATAATGTTGCCTTAACGCAGATTCACGTTTAACTGCTCAGTGGTAAAACATTTCTCTGGAATACCTCTCTAAGCAGCTCCTGGGAAATGGCAACCAATTTATAAATACTTAGCAGCATGAAGAGAGGCTGGTGAGACAGCGGTGCCAGCACTGTGATCAGAGCCATCTACTACCCGGTTACAAGTCTCTTACCTGCATGACTCATACACCACACACAAGTATACCATTCGTAAAATACAAAGGATTCATTACCTGAGTGAAGAAGGAATATAGCAGCGCAAGTTTAATTCGTAGCGTTGGTCGTTAGTAGCATCGTTGGTAGCGTCGCTGGTAAGTCATTTTGGGTCGCTCTGACAGTTCCTCACTAATATAGCCTACATAATATCCGGCACTCAACTTTAAGTGTTGATTCACTTTTCTGCTGACACTGTTTTTTGAGTGAGGCTTACAATTATGCAGGTAGTGTTGCAGCGCTAACTCTTGCAACACAGGTGGTCAGCCAAGCCAGGGTACCACCATCGAGGACACTACCATCCACACTACCCTGTACCCTGATACTCGGCTACCCAACGTGTGTCACTAGAAACTCCAGAGGTGTGAGATTTTAAAGAACCATCATCGCGCATGCGTCGAGGCGCCAGTCAGAGAAAAAGTATGTTAAGAACTTCGAAGTTTTTGAAATACAAAATGTTAAGCTCGTATGTAACTGCTACAAGCATAAATTGCTTGATAAAATTTAAGATGCATACGCACTGTATACAGCCTATCTAAGCACAAACCCTGGTAATACAGTACACCAAATAAAACCGACGTGTCCTGCTGGAAGTTATACACACAACTTTTAATAATAAGCTTAACATTTACATTTTGTTCAAACTTTGATAAGCTGGATCTCCAGTGAAACCAAAAGTGAAGGAGCTGATAAGAATTGGATCGCTTGTTCCTTGATACGAGAAGCACATGTTGTCAGTGTCCACAGCGTGATCCCGAGTATATATATATCCTGTGGTCAACGAACTCCCAGTTCGATTTAAACTATATGGAAACTCTCTGAAGTAAAAAAAAATAATGCACTGAACAGCTACAATAATTTTAGATGACTGCTTTTGGATATTCATTACACAGGGTCGCTAAAGTTAACTATGACGCAAGAGTATTCTTACGCTACAAGTTCATAACAGTACTCGGAGGGACATTCAATATTATATAGTTAAATTCGAAACAATCTTAAGGCTTCAGATAACCTCTTCACCACCAACAGGAATACTAATACCTAAAATAATTCGCTAATTTCCTAAATTTGCTTGTAACAGATAAGTGAACTATAGATATGTAGATATAAATCCATATGTATTCCTGTTAACCCTTTGGGGCCTAGTTCCTAGGCCTTTTGTGTATCCATATGCTCTCGCGCTACCGTCCACAGGATGGATATGGGATGCACAATGAACTAGCCACTTCGGTGGTAAAATCTAAATCTAAGGCTATCGACTACATGAAGGTCATTAATGCTACGCAGTAACCTCTTCACCACCAGACAAGAATACTTTAATACCTAAACTAGAAACTAAACTGAGAATATACACGATGAAAGAAATATATTCTCAGGGTATATATTCTGTGTAATGATTAAAGTAAACTCTCAGCAAATATGTGCTGATAGAAATATATTTAACCCATGTATATATTCGGAGTGAAGGATGTCAAACCTCGCTGGACGGGCCGAGAAGTTCACGCACCTTTATACACTCGTATCAAAGTTTATTCTCTATAAGGATTACAATGCTGAGTTTACAGAATTTCGTTATTGTGTGGTTTACATATAGTAAAATAATAATTACGGAGTGTACCACTAGAACACCTAGCATGGCTAGGCATTTCGGGCAGACTTAGATTAATTCTTAAATTTAAAATATTACAAATTATGAGGTAAGTTGGTATTATGGCTAAGTGACTAAATACTAGTTGTGAGTTTAGCAATGTGAATGCTTTTGGCACTATACATAGTTTCAGTATTGGAGTATCACAGGCCAACTTATGACTAGTTAAGATTCATTATTTTGAGATTGAGATTGATATTTCTGTTTATGGTCAAATGGGTGAGTGAGTGTAAGTGTGAACCACCAGGTGGTATTCGTGTAATTAGTTGACAGGGAGTATCAGGGAGATAAGATGTTTTCTGATGGTAGTTTTGAAGGTGATGAATGTGTCTGCAGTTTTAGAATTTTCAGGTAGGGTGTTCCAGATTTTAGGGCCTTTGACATACATTGAATTTATGTATCACCCACACCACTACCACTATTACCTCGATCCTCACTAGTACAGTATAACCACAACCAGTACTACAAGTATCACTACTACTAATACTACAATTATTACCACTACTACTATTGCAAATATCACCACTACTAATAATATAAATGTTACCATTGCTAGTACTACAACTATCACCACAACTAGTACCAAAAATATTACCACTACTAGTACTACAACTATCACCACTACTAGTACCACAAATATTACCACTATTAATACTACAAATATTACCACTACTAGTGCTACAACTATCACCACTACTAGTACCACAAATATTACCACTATTAATACTACAAATATTACCACTACTAGTACTACAACTATCACCACTACTAGTACCACAAATATTACCACTATTAATACTACAAATATTACCACTACTAGTACTACAACTATCACCACTACTAGTACTACAAATATTACCACTATTAATACTACAAATATTACCACTACTAGTGCTACAACTATCACCACTACTAGTACCACAAATATTACCACTACTAGTACTACAACTATCACCACTACTAGTACTACAAATATTACCACTATTAATACAACAAATATTACCACTACTAGTACTACAAATATTACCACTACTAGTACTACAAATATTACCACTACTAGTACTACAAATATTACCACTATTAATACAAAAAATATTACCACTACTATTACTACAACAATCACCACTACTAGTACTACAACTATCACCATTACTAGTATAACAAATATTACCACTACTATTACTACAACTATCACCACTACTACTACTACAAATATTACCACTATTAATACCACAAATATTACTACTAGTAATGCTACAAATATCACTACTACTACAAATATTACTAACACAGTACTACAGTTACCAATACTAGTACTACAAGTATCACAACTAGTACTACAAGTATCACAACTAGTACTACAAGTATCACAACTAGTACTACAAGTATCACAACTAGTACTACAAGTATCACAACTAGTACTACAAGTATCACAACTAGTACTACAAGTATCACAACTAGTACTACAAGTATCACAACTAGTTCCACACGTACCACAAAATGAAAAATTTTAATTCATGTTAACAGCTAAACCAATTTGGGATATTTATTGCAATACTTGGTAGTGAAGGCTTGATCCTCAGTCTGCTGACCTACACATACTCGAGCTTACAATTTGTAGTTCTCAGTTGCTGTTTATTCCAATATAACTATTAAATCCTATACATTTTATTAACATTAATATTATAACAACTAGTATACTATAGAAAGTATTAAAGATTTAACGATGAAATTGTCCGAAATGATTAATAGAAAGCTTGTTCTCTACTCTTTCTTCGCTGCTGTAGCAATGGTTGCTACATGCATGACACTAAAATCATTCTGGATCAATCTTGAGTAGAACCTTCCACATTAGTACGAAAGCCTTCGCTTGGAAGTGCTCGTCGAGATCTAGGGCAGTATGAGCTGGTGGAAACATAATGTTCCACATGTGAGCGAGGTGATGAGAATGGTGGCTGGATCACCATCTGAGAGTACCTCAGAGGCGATCCCACAATTAAAGACATATGAGTGGAATGTGGTAGGAATATTGTTCAGGGCTTATCAAGCCTACAGTGAGATACCTGCTCTAAGGAAAAGGCTGGAGGAACTGAAAGAAAAGAAAGCTGAGAGCTTACATCTTTCAATGATGGTTTTGCAGGGAGTTTCTCTCCTCATCGGTGTCATGCTTTACAACTTCATGACCTAGTCTGACCCACAGGTCCCTGACGAGGCAGGAGTCGAGACTGTGATCGTGGAAGATCCTTAAGATGAGAATGTACATCATGAGATCAGGGAAGAAAATCCTGTAGATGGAGATGCTGAAAATGAGAAAGAACATCCTGAGCGACGGTACAATGCTAGTGCACAACAGCCTGAGCAACGGTACAACGCCAGTGCACAACAGCCTGAGCGACGGTACAATGCTAGTGCACAACAGCCTGAGCGACGGTACAATGCTAGTGCACAACAGCCTGAGCGACGGTACAACGCCAGTGCACAACAGCCTGAGCAACGGTACAACGCCAGTGCACAACAGCCTGAGCGACGGTACAATGCTAGTGCACAACAGCCTGAGCGACGGTACAACGCCAGTGCACAACAGCCTGAGCGACGGTACAACGCCAGTGCACAACAGCCTGAGCGACGGTACAATGCTAGTGCACAACAGCCTGAGCGACGGTACAACGCCAGTGCACAACAGCCTGAGCGACGGTACAATGCTAGTGCACAACAGCCTGAGCGACGGTACAATGCCAGTGCACAACAGCCTGAGCGACGGTACAACGCCAGTGCACAACAGCCTGAGCGACGGTACAATGCTAGTGCACAACAGCCTGAGCGACGGTACAATGCTAGTGCACAACAGCTGAGAAACGGTACAACGCCAGTGCACAACAGCCTGAGCGACGGTACAATGCTAGTGCACAACAGCCTGAGCGACGGTACAATGCTAGTGCACAACAGCCTGAGCGACGGTACAACGCCAGTGCACAACAGCCTGAGCGACGGTACAACGCCAGTGCACAACAGCCTGAGCGACGGTACAACGCCAGTGCACAACAGCCTGAGCGACGGTACAACGCCAGTGCACAACAGCCTGAGCAACGGTACAATGCTAGTGCACAACAGCCTGAGCAACGGTACAACGCCAGTGCACAACAGCCTGAGCGACGGTACAATGCTTGTGCACAACAGCCTGAGCGACGGTACAACGCCAGTGCACAACAGCCTGAGCGACGGTACAATGCTAGTGCACAACAGCCTGAGCGACGGTACAACGCCAGTGCACAACAGCCTGAGCAACGGTACAATGCTAGTGCACAACAGCCTGAGCGACGGTACAACGCCAGTGCACAACAGCCTGAGCGACGGTACAATGCTAGTGCACAACAGCCTGAGCAACGGTACAACGCCAGTGCACAACAGCCTGAGCGACGGTACAATGCTAGTGCACAACAGCCTGAGCGACGGTACAATGCTAGTGCACAACAGCCTGAGCGACGGTACAACGCCAGTGCACAACAGCCTGAGCGACGGTACAACGCCAGTGCACAACAGGCTGGGCAAGACATCAACACCCGTGGTACACTGGATAATCTTCCAGAACATCTATTAAATACAAAGGAAGAAAATGCTTCCCCACAGCAACAAAGCGATAATGTACCAGTCGGGCGGTTCCCTCGATTTCACCGTCAACCCCAGAGGTTAAGAATATAACGGAATGCTAAAGCTTCTCAACCCACCACCACCACCACCACCACCACCACCACCACCACCACCACCACCACCACTCGGCAGCCTGAGAGACGGATCGTCTACCAGGAAATCCCTGACCCTCTGTGGCTTGAGTTAAAGCCAAACGAAAAGCCTAAGGCTGAAGCGGTGAAGAAGGACACTGGTGCCTCCCATACCTTGGGTACCAATGATAACCCTTCTAAATACCAACGTAAACCCAAGAAAAACAAGCCCAAAAACAATAAGAATACACAAAAATCTTCAGGAACTCGGGACAAAAATGGAAAAGGAAATGGTGCAGCTGCAAAAAAACTTAAGAAGAAAAAACCTTGAGCAGGCTTCAGCAGAGGATTGAAGGAATGGACTGAACGCAAGGCTTAGTAACAAAAAAAAAAAAAAACTCAGTAGGCAGCCACCTCCACGTGGTGAGTTCTGGGTGTTTTGTATGACTTGTTGTTACTTCATACTAAATCATACAAGATAGCCGAGAGCTGCTCATACAGTTATCGTCTATCCTGCTACAATATATATTCACAAAAACTCAAAATATCTCTCCTCCATCTCTTCATAACTCACTTTTTTCTATGTTTTTCTTACCTTCCTTTTTTTTCTATATTTATTGTCTTTTACTTCTCCTCCTTCTCTTTCATGTTTTTACCTCACCCTCCTTTTCCCCTTTTTTCTTCTTCCTCCCCATTTATCTTCTTGTTCTTCTGAGTACAAATAGGAAGTTGATCTATCTGGTGTGCAGCAGACAATCAAACCTAGTCTTGTTCTGAATGACCTACATGACCTTAGTGCTTAACACCGATTATTATTATTTATTTCTCATTCTATCTTCGCCTCTTTCTTCTTTTAACTTTCGATAACTGGACTTAGTTATATATTCTTCAGGAAAGTTTTATTTATTTGTCATGCTCGACTGCCATCCTTCATGTTGACCATCAGTGTTTTGCTACGAATGTTGTTCCACATGATGCTAGTAACAGTGTCAATGGCTATATGTTACTATTGCGACTATATCACCACTAACACCATCACTGATGCTTACCATCACTGCCACAATCACTACCCTCATCAACACCATCACTGCTGCTCACCATCACTACCCTCATTAACACCATCACTGCTGACACCACTACCACAATGACTACCCTCATTAACACCATCACAGCTGACACCATCACTACCACAATCACTACCCTTATTAACACCATCACTGCTTACACCATCACTACCACAATCACTACCCTCCTTAACACCATCACTGCGGCTCACCATCACTACCACAATCACTACCCTCATTAACACCATCACTGTTGTTCACCATCACTACCACAACCACTACCCTCATCAACACCGTCACTGCTGCCACCATCACTACCACAATCACTACCCTTATCAACACCATTACCTCTACTAGCAACACTACTTTGATCACTAAAAGCACAACCATAACCTCTACCACCATAAGCACTACATCACCATAACCAGTATCACTATCACCACTACTACCAACACCATTATCATTATCACCACCACCACTACCACGAAAACAACTATCATTATCATCACTAACACCAACACCACTATCACTATCACCACTACCACCATCAGCACTGCATCACCATAACCACTATCACAATCACCACTATGATCCTCACATCCACCATTCTTAGCATGACCATCTCCATCTACTGAACCCATCATCACTACCATAATTACCATTTTCATAATTACCAATATCACCCACACCACTACCACCATTACCTCGATCCTCACTAGTACAGTATAACCACAACCAGTACTACAAGTATCACTACTACTAATACTACAATTATTACCACTACTACTACTGCAAATATCACCACTACTAGTATTACAAACATCACTACTACTAGTGTTACAAATATCACTACTACTAGTACTACAAACATCACTACTACTAGTATTACAAATATCACTACTACTAGTACTACAAATATCACTACTACTAGTACTACAAATATCACTACTACTAGTACTACAAATATCATCTCTACTAGTACTACAAATATCACTACTACTAGTACTACAAATATCACTACTACTAGTACTACAAATATCACTACTACTAGTACTACAAATATCACTACTACTAGTACTACAAATATCACTACTACTAAAAATTTGTGTTAGGTCTTAAACTTTTTTGTAAGCTCCTGGAATTTCATGTGTGTGTGTGTGTTTATATATATATATATATATATATAATATATATTATATATATATATATATATATATATATATATAATATATATATATATATATATATATATATATATATATATATTATATTTCAACAAGTCGGCCGTCTCCCACCGAGGCAGGGTGACCCAAAAAAAAGAAAGAAAATCCCCAAAAGAAAATACTTTCATCATCATTTCAACACTTTCACCACACTCACACATTATCACTGCTTTTGCAGAGTGCCAGAATACAACAGCTTGGAAGCATATACGTACAAAGATACACAACATATCCTCCAAACTGCCAATATCCCAAACCCTCCTTTAAAGTGCAGGCATTGTTACTTCCCATTTCCAGGACTCAAGTCCGACTATATGAAAATAACCGGTTTCCCTGAATCCCTTCACTAAATATTACCCTGCTCACACTCCAACAGATCGTCAGGTCCCAAGTATCATTCGTCTCCATTCACTCCTATCTAACACGCTCATGCACGCTTGCTGGAAGTCCAAGCCCCTCACCCACAAAACCTCCTTTACCCCCTCTTTCCAGCCCTTTCGAGGACGACCCCTACCCTCTTTCCTTCCCCTATAGATTTATATGCTTTCCATGTCATTCTACTTTGATCCATTCTCTCTAAATGACCAAACCACCTCAACAACCCCTCTTCTGCCCTCTGACTAATGCTTTTTTAACTCCACACCTTCTCCTAATTTCCACACTCCGAATTTTCTGCATAATATTTACACGACACATTGCCTTAGACAGGACATCTCCACTGCCTCCAACCGTCTCCTCGCTGCTGCATTTACCACCAAGCTTCACATCCATATAAGAGTGTTGGTACTACTATACTTTCATTACATTCCCTTCTTTGCCTCCATAGATAACGTTTTTTGACTCCACATATACCTCAACGCACCACTCACCTTTTTTCCTCATCAGTTCTATGATTAACCTCATCCTTCATAAATCCATCCGCCGACACGTCAACTCCCAAGTATCTGAAAACATTCACTTCTTCCATACTCCTCCTCCCCAATTTTGATATCCAATTTTTCTTTATCTAAATCATTTGATACCCTCATCACCTTACTCTTTTCTATGTTCACTTTCAACTTTCTACCTTTACACACATTCTCAAACTCATCCACTAACCTTTGAAATTTTTCTTTAGAATCTCCCATAAGCACAGTATCATCAGCAAAAAGTAACTGTGTCAATTCCCTTTTTGAATTTGATTCCCCATAATTTAATCCACCCTCTCCCGAACACCCTAGCATTTACTTCTTTTAAAACCCCCAAATCTATAAATATATTAAACAACCATGGTGACATTACACATTCCTGTCTAAGACCTACTTTTACCGGGAAGTATTCTCCCTCTCTTCTACACACCCTAACCTGAGCCTCACTATCCTCATAAAAGCTCTTTACAGAAATTTAGTAATTACCACCTATTCCATATACTGGCAACATCTGCCACATTGCTCCTCTATCCACTCTATCATATGCCTTCTCTAAATCCATAAATGCAATAAAAACTTCCCTACCTTTATCTAAATACTGTTCACATATATGCTTCAATGTAAACACTTGATCTACACATCCCCTACCCACTCGGAAACCTCCTTGTTCGTCCGCAATTCTTCATTCTGTCTTACCTCTAATTCTTTCAATTATAACCCTACCCTTTTACTTTTCCTGGTATATCAGTAAACTTATTCCTCTATAATTTTACAATCTCTTTTGTCCCCTTTCCCTTTATATAAAGGGACTATACATGCTCTCCGCCAATCCCTAGGTACCTTCCCCTCTTTCATACATTTATTAAACAAAAGTACCAACCACTCCAACACTATATCCCCCACCCCGCTTTTAACATTTTTTGTCATGATCCATCACTTCCAGCTGCTTTACCCCCCTTTTATTCTACGTAATGCCTCACGTACCTCCACACACTTTCAGTCTGCTCTTCTTCACTCCTAAAGTGGTTATACCTCCCTGGCCAGTGCATGAAATTACCGCCTCCCTTTCTTCCTTAACTTTTTAAAAGTTCCTGAAAATATTCTCGCCATCTACCTAATACCTCCCTCTCCCCATCTACTAACTCCCCTACTCTGTTTTTAACTAACAAATCCATACTTTCCCTAGGCTTTCTTAACTAGTTTAACTCACTCCAAATTTTTTTCTTATTTTCATTAAAATTTCTTGACAGTGCCTCTCCCACTCTATCATCTGCTCTCCTTTTGCACTCTCTCACCACTCTCTTCACCTTTCTTTTACTCTCCATATACTCTGCTCTTCTTATAACACTTCTGCTTTGTAAAAACCTCTCGTAAGCTACCTTTTTCTCTTTATCACACCCTTTACTTCATCATTCCACCAATCACTCCTCTTTCCTCCTGCCCCCACCCTCCTATAACCACAAACTTCTGCCCCACATTCTAATACTGCATTTTTAAAACTATTCCAACCCTCTTCAACCCCCCACTACTCATCTTTGCACTAGCCCACCTTTCTGCCAATAGTCGCTTATATCTCGTCCGAACTTCCTCCTCCCTTAGTTTATACACTTTCACCTCCCTCTTACTTGTTGTTGCCACCTTCCTCTTTTCCCATCTACCTCTTACTCTAACTGTAGCTACAACTAAATAATGATCCGATATATCAGTTGCCCCTCTATAAACATGTGCATCCTGGAGCCTACCCATCAACCTTTTATCCACCAATACATAATCTAATAAACTACTTTCATTACGTGCTACATCATACCTTGTATATTTATTTATCCTCTTTTTCATAAAATATGTATTACTTATTACCAAATTTCTTTCTACACATAGCTCAATTAAAGGCTCCCCATTTACATTTACCCTGGCACCCCAAAATTACCTACTACTCCCTCCATAACATTTTTACCCACTTTAGCATTGATATCCCCAACCACCATTACTCTCACACTTGATTCAAAACTCCCCACGCATTCACTCAACATTTCCCAGAATCTCTCTCTCTCCTCTACACTTCTCTCTTCTCCAGGTGCATACACGCTTACTATAACCCACTTTTCACATCCAATCTTTATTTTACTCCACATAATCCTTGAATTTATATATATATATATATATATATATATATATATATATATATATATATATATATATATATATATATATATATATATATATATATATATGATATATATATATATATATATATATATATATATATATATATATATATATATATATATATATATATATATATATATATATTATATTATATATATATATATATATATATATATATATATATATATATATATATAATATATTTATAATTATATATATATATAATATGTACTATATATATGTCGTGCCGAATATGTAAAACTGGTCAATTAGCAAGAACTCATTTAAAATTTAGTCCTTTCTAAAATTTTCTCTTATGCGTTTAAAGATATATTTTTTTTCATTAATGGTAATGTAAAAATTTTTAATTTTGCACCAAAAGAATCTTAGAAAACTTACCTAACCTTATTATAACAAGAACAATTTATTTTAGCCTAACCCAACTAAATATATTTTAGATTTGTTTACAATAATTTAATACTAAACAAACACAGTGAAATATATTTTTTTTCGTTAGGCTCAGAATGATTTTGGCGAAATTATTGCATACACAAATTTTCACTTGTCCTATATGGCAAGATGAACGTTGCTATTTAAGCCAAGCTGGCAAGTTCTGCCTATTCGGCACGACATATGTATATGTATATATATATGATGTCGTGCCGAATAGGCAGAACTTGCGGTCTTGGCTTAAATAGCAACCCTCATCTTGCCATATAGGACAAGCGAAAATTTGTGTATGCAATAATTTCACCAAAATCATTCTGAACCTAACGAAAAAAATATATTTCATTGGGTTTGTTTAGTATTAAATTATTGTAAACAAATCTAAAATATATTTAGTTGGGTTAGGTTAAAATAAATTGCTCTTGTTATAATAAGGTTAGGTAAGTTTTCTAAGATTCTTTTGGGTCAAAATTAAAAGCTTTTACATTAACATTAATGAAAAAGAATATACCTTTAAACGTATAAGAGAAAATTTTAGAAAGGACTTAATTTTAAATGAGTTCTTGCTAATTGACCAGTTTTACATATTCGGCACGACATATATATATATATATATATATATATATATATATATATATATATATATATATATATATATATATATATATATATATATATATATATATATATATATATAATTTATATATATTATATATATATATATATATATATATATATATATATATATATAAATAGAGAGAGAGAGAGAGTGAGAGAGAGGACGCGGAAGAGGACGTGGAAGAGGAAAACATCTACAGTCGTCTCACCCTCCACTAACAGTTCCAGCGGCAGAACCTGAGGACAAATCTGCAAAACACAGGAGGTGCAACAAATCATAGTCCACCCTCCCAGGCACCTAGGCTGTGCTCTCGCTGTCACCGGAAGGGCGCACTGCCAACAACTGCCTGCGAGATATCAGGTGCAATTCCTGCTACAAGAAAGGACATCAGGAGGACCAGTGTAGGAAGAAAAA